CGTTCACACTATCACTTGGTTTTGGGTTCTTACCCAGAAAAAAACAAGAACAACATTTGAAAGAGTATCTTTTTTGTAGGTAGTTAACACAGATGTCTTCTTAGTAGAATGTATTCATTATTTGGTTAGTACTTTCCCTTGTCTTTCTCCAAAAGCAACATGGAGATCTCCCTCCCTTCTTTTTATGTTTACACCTTACAAACCCTATGCAGTAGATTGGACTATAAAGATATTGTAGCTTGATTCAGGGGTAATCTTTCCTAAGACAGCTTTACTACAGAACTGGCATATTAATTTAGCTTTTTGCTGTTGCTGTGATCTGTGTACAAATGTTTTGGCTTTTCTATAGCTGTAAAAGATATAATCAGAAGGCAAAGATGGAAATGGAAGTATCATGCTTTTTATTTGATGCTAAAACTGGTCTTCTGCACTGAGATGCTTAATATTAGTGTTGTCTAGCTATGCCATAAAGAGAGCTTTATAATAATGGGAAACCAGAAATGATGGCATTAGCAATTACCTTGGCTGAAAATGGCTCCAATGGAGGGCAGGGCTTGTCTCTTACACTTACCAGGTGGTTTCATCATTTCAATGGCACTGACAACAGAAAATTATAGCACCCAGGCAGTTCTTAGAAGAGGATGAGCTACCACTAGGAGAGCCTATTTAACACTATAAGGACGAGAGCTATTCACTATTAGATTCAAAAAAAGTGGTGAGGATAAGAGCAATTAAAAGAAACTATCTGCAAATATTTTATTACATTTTTTTATCTGGAAATAGTTATTCACAACAGTCTTGAGGAATAATCATGCTTTCTGAAAGATGAAGCTGAGCATTTTTTCTCATTCTCTACACAAAGGATGGGCAGAATTCTGGCTTGCAAAATCTACTTTGTTTCATTACTAGCAGCCCAAATGTCATTTACTGCAAAAGAGAGACATGTAATATTAAAGGTGTTTGAGCCCAGAAATTCAATCTTTACTGGATTGAAGGATTACAGAGTCCTTCTATTCAAGATCAGCTCCTGGTTTTTCCTAGCTTTCTAAATTTAAAAAATATAATTTAAGGCAGCAAGCAACTCATTTTGCAGGTATTGTTAAACATGAGGACCAATGCCTCTTTTGCAAAACAGTAGAGATCAACCTATATGGACCTATCCAGCCATTGCCTATTCCATAAATAGGAGTATATGGAGACACAAGTCATGGAGAAATATTTGGTGCAAGATCCTATAAAATGTATGAGTAGAGCATTTATTGATGGCTGGGAAACCCTTACAGATTTTTTGCATAAAACAGAAAAAAATGAATTTATGATCAATGGTTTTGACAATTGGACTGGATAATCTAATTTATCTAATTATTTTTCACATTTCCATACCACGCATCTCCCTCAAAGAAGATCATTTTTTTCAGAGCTTCACTGGGTAAGAGATATGGAAAACCAGCAATTCCTTTACAATCAGAAGCGAATAATATAAATTTTAGATACAATGGCTAACAATTGATTCAATAATCAATTAAATATGAATTAAATACTATATATTATTGATATAATCAACATGCTTTGAAGATGTTTTAATTAAGTATTTGTTTATTACAGTAGCTTATATCGTTGCTTCTTCAATTAAAAAGCAAAGAAAATAAAATATAGCAAATGAATGGAACATTCTTTAGCTAACAAGCACTTCAGAAGAGGAGGCAAAGTGACTATGACTCTTCAAACAACAAGTTTGTTCATCTTTGCTTACATTCATTTTCTAAAGAGAGTTGGTTTTTCCTAATTTTTTATGCCTACATTATGTAAACACGGTGAACTATTTTAATTAGCATTAGTTTGATTAGTAGTACAATGAGTAATTGAATAAACGAAACAGCAAGAAATAGAATATATTTGGAAGTAAGTCTTGAGTGGTGCCAACAATATAGTAAGTAGGTTTAGAATTGCAATTAAGAATCCTTTAATTAAGTCACAATTCTACCTTAGAGATTGAATTTTTTAGGGTTTTTACATTTATTAAGAACAATAATATTTAAAAGCTTTTAGACATTTATGAGCACATTTCTTCAATAGACATCTTCTACAGAAAGAATAGATTTATAGACAAATTTATGTGGAGTCCTACAAGATTTGAGTATAATGGAAAATTAATTAAGATTGCCTCATACTAAAAGACCAGCAAAGAAAACCTTAAGGACTTTAATAGTATCTATTAAATGCATAGTTTGAACATTATTTGTAAGAAATACTTTGAATCTTATCTCAACGCAGCATCTCAGCTATTCAACATCTCAGCTGTTTTTTAAGGGTTTAATAACTTTAATACTTTAAGGAGTTGACTCATTAAAATTAATGTAACTCTGAAAACAGCAGTATTTTATTTCCAGACTTCTTTAATGCTGCTTTAATGAATAGCAGAGAGAAGTTGCATTCACTCCAGGTCTGAATAACTTTGTGCAAATTAGTTTCAAAGCCTGCAACACCCCAATATACAACCATACTTGGTTATCTAACACCCTTGAATTAACTTGGGAGGGGAAATAAATTCCTGTTAGTCACAGCTTGGAAAGGGCTTTCAGGGGGCTTGAGGAAACTTTTAAGTGACCTTGCAGCAGTGGTGGGTTGCTTTTGGTTCTGTCCGGTTCTAAAGAACCGGTAGTAAAAGCGGCAGGAGGCTCCACCCACCCACCTGGACATCATAATTGATGATGTGTGCATGCGCGGGCGTGGGCACTCCCGTTGCAAACCAGTAGTAAAGGTAAGTAGAACCCACTCCTGCCTTGCAGGGAAAAAGAGACGGAATCCTTGCCATTTTCTGCTTCTGAAGACGTTACCGATGTTGCATTGTTAAACATTTTAAACTTGATTTAGAAAGGGAGGGGCAACCAGCTCAGTAGCAGATCACATGCTTACTATGGAGTCAGCAGAGAAACGGTTCACATAATAAAATAATCACGGCACCATTGTGATGGAAGCTTTGTCTCTTTCTTACATGCCCTCTGACCCTACAAATGCATACCAAAGAGCTGGAGCTTCTGATGGGAACAATACTTCATCCCTCATTTTGATAAATGCATCAGATCCTTCAGACACTTCTGTTCCAGATTCAGTCCCAGATAACAGAAGCCTGCACTGGGTGGCTGCTGATGTTGAAGGCTTTCCCAGGTAAATGTACAAACATATCCTTGGATGGACGGCAAAGCAACTCAGACTTGGTCCAATGCTCAACACAGACTCCAGTTCCCTGGAAATGACAGCAGGATCCCTGTGACCTTGTGATACAATGTTTTTCTTAAATTATATTATTTTTCTTTCTAAAAATAAGCAAAGGAGTTGAGATAGCCGAGTTGGCCCTAAAAGTGAACTGTCCTTCCCCATTGATCAATTCGCTTCCATTTCCAAAGTCAGCACAGTGTAATCGAATGCATTGAACCAACTTGGGATGATTGAAAGGGTTTATCAATAGTTCCAAGGGAAAAGGCTGTAAAAGAGGGTTCTGCTTTCCAGAAGTTTTGGATACAACTCCCAGCATCTCTGATTAGTGGCAAAGCTATCTGTGGATGATGGGGAGATTAACCCGCTCTTGTCAGCAGGCATGTTTGCACAGGAGAGATATATATCTATAATATATCTCTCTCCTATATATATTATATAGATTCTATATCTATATCTATATGTATATATATAGATATAGATATAGATATATATATATATAGATATAGATATAGATATACAAAGATGTGGCTGCATCTTTGTGCTTGAAATCCCATCATTTTTAACATGGATTCCATTTCATAACACAACTGAAAAGGGCAATTGTTTCATTCTGCCACCCTCTTGATTTTTTTGATACTCTCTCCCATACAGATGACGCTGTCCTACAGGACATCATGTTGCTGCCAGACAAATTCCATCACACAAATCTCAATTTTAACTCCCTCCCTTGACTCCTTTCATTCATCACACTTACCAGTATTTTCTTCTATGCCCCATCAAAGCCACTGCTGCCCCCACCAAGTTCTGGGAACCCTGTAATGAAGATCTGCAATCTACTACCTTTGCAGCTAATCCACCACTGCTACTTAAAATATAATAGTATCTTTGAAACACATACTGTATACCTAGCAAATCTCTTACAGATAATTCTCATGTGGCAACCACAATTGGGAATGGCAACTTGGCCATTAACTAAAGTGGTCACTAAGTAAAACTGCAACTGTGCTTATGACCTTACTTTAGCTTTCCTTTGCTTTGCAGATCTGCAAAGGTTGTAAATGTGAGGACTGGTCATAAGTTTTTATCTCCATTGTAACTGCAAACAGTCACTAAATGAAGTGGTTGCTAAACAAGGACTACCTGTATGAAAAAAGGGTTCACTATAAGGTACCACCTAAAAATTAAAATTGTTCTTAGCAAAGCGAATGTTTTGGATAAACATACTGAATGTGCAAGTTTTGTTTCTGGTCTTTCTTAATAATTTTTGTGAGGGGTGTGAGGTGGTGGGTGGATGGGGGTATATGCAGTTATACAATTATATATTTGATTGTATTCTATGTTTATAGTACCCTGTTTCCCCCCAAATAAGATATCCCCTGATAATAAGCCCAATTGGGCTTTTGAGAGCATGGCAATAAGGCCAAGCGCTTATTTCAGGGTTCAAAAAAATATAAGAGAGTGTCTTATTTTCAGGCAAACACGGTATTTAAATGAAGGTTAGTCTGTTTCTTTCCCCATGTTATGCTTACCCAAGTGTATTCTCATCAAGCATTGGTTCAATAGTTCAGCAGTAATTTGTTTATATGGGACAAACTTCAAAGATTAAATGATATAAATACTGTACTTTATACTTGTGGCCTAAAACCTGCAAGGTTTCTTTTAACCTTATGGTTTTACTATTTTTTCAGATAGATATTATTTACAATGAAAAGTTCACACATTCAACCAGTAATCATAGACAAAGATGATATATTGAAAAATGCAGATTCCTGATATCCTTCAGATTCTTTAATTCCCTGTGAATGTTTGGGCTTTTGTCTTCTTTTGTTACATTTATGAGTGCAAGCAGATAATTTTGCAGCAACTAATCTAGAATACTTCTATGCAACAGATCCTCAGTGATTTTGTATCAACGGCTATTGATGACCTCTCCAAGGTCTGAAGTTTCTGGAATAGAAGCCGATCAGAAGGGTATATATTGTACAGTCCAACTTCCCTTAAACTCCCAGAGAAGAGAGATATAGGTGTTACATGCTGTGATGCCTCAGTGTATGGGGGTTTACATGATTTCCACACTTGGAGAGAGGTGGGGAAAGACATTTCTCTATTTTTTGCCTGGTGTATATTCCATATGGTTTGTGGTAAAGTATCTACCAGAATTAAAAGATAAGGTGAGAATGAATCAAACACAAAACTTACTTATTTTTAACTAATATTTCTCAAGACTCTCAGGACTTATCTTTGGTTACATTCAGGGGTGAAATCTAAATTTTTTCCCTACCAGTTCTGTGGGCGTGGCTTTGTGGTCGTGGCAGGGGAAGGATCTTGCAAAATCTCCATTCCCATCCCACTCCAGGTGAAGGATACTGCAACATCTCCATTCCCACCCCACTCTGGGGCCAGCCAGAGGGGGTATTTGCTGGTTCTCTGAACTACTCAAAATTTCCACTACCGGTTCTCCGGAACCTGTTAGAACCTGCTGGATTTCACCCCTGGTTACATTAATATAGTATAAGGCTTATTCACCCTTTATCTGGTCAATAGATTATTAAAAAATTGAAAAATAGACCTGCAATTGTCATATGGATTTCAGCTGGACTAAACTGCTGAGTGTGAATCTATTGTAAGACTGGAGTTGTACAAGTTACACTTTGCTTATGTGCATTCATGCTTTGTTGTGTAGACCACAAATGGCTAGTTCATGCACTAAACACACTAAAGCAATGCCAAATAATTAAATTATAATTCAGTGTGATGCATAAAGCAGGTCTATTTTTCAATCTGTTGTGTTAAATGTAAACTGTTATTGTAAAAGACCAAATAATAATAACTGGAGACTATTTTGTCTTGTAGAGCCTATTATAACTTCAAGGAATATATTGTGAAGGAATTGTACAGCAGCTGTCTAAATTAAGTCAGAGACACTAACACAAACTTGTAGTTTTAACTACAAGTAGTAAACCCACACTTTACATGGACAGCAACCAATCATAGTGTAGATTACCTCGTGCATGAGCCAGCACACTTCATTCAATCAACTATAACTATTGTACTGTATTGTATTGTATTGTGTCCATTGTACACTTTACTGTTCCAGCTACTAAATTTAATATCCTAACAATCTTCCTGTTAGAAAAACTTCTAAAAAGAACATTTGAGATGTCTTCACTTTAATAGGAAACAAATGTGATAGCAAGAAAGAGTATGTTGGTATTGTTCCTTAGACCAATTCCAGCCTCCTCTGACCTGGTGCCCATCCCAGATGATGGATACTTAATTGGTTGGAAGTTATAATTTCAAGATACTTGGAATACATCAAGAAAGGACAGACAGACTTTACATTCACTGAATGCACAACAGATGTCTGCAAGTTGGGGTTCCTTAATATTTACAGAAGGAGCCTGAATAGCTCTGCGGACAAGGCACTGTAATTTAACACCAGCTGTCTGCAATTAAAGTAAGTTTGAATCTTGCCAGGCTCAAGGTTGACTCAGCCTTCTATCCTTTCTAAGGTAGGTGAAATGAGGACCTAGTTTGTGGGGGCAATAAGCTGACTTTGTATAAAATATACAAAAGTATGAAGGCTATTGCTTAACACACTATAAGCCGCCCTGAGTCTCCGGAGAAGGGCGGCATATAAATCAAATTTAAAAAAAAAGAAGCCATTTCCACATACTGTGTTTTTATTTTTTCCAGTCCAACAAAATGTTAGAAGGTGATTTAAAAAGGGCCTAGAACTCTGTCCATGCATTATCCGGATAATTCACTGAAAACATTGCAGAAAATGACCACATTTTTGGTGAGACAGAAGAACCTGACAAAACAAAGTTGGAGCTTGACTTGGTTGGAGTACTTACAGTGCATCTGTATGGCCAGTGACTCCAAATGTTGCTGACTCCTCCTTTCCAAATCCTCCTTCTTTCCATCAGACACAGCCTATGACACCTGCTCTGCAATATCCCCCAAACACAAACAGGTTGTAACACTTATGTACCCATGCTGATTACAGGAAGTCCTTGACTTATCACCATAATAGAGCCCAACATTTCCATTGCTAAGCAAGCAGGCATTAAGTGAGTGTTGCCCCATTTTTACAACCTTTTTGGCAGAGTTGTTAGGCAAATCATGTCATTAAGCAAATCTGGCTTCTCCCATTGACTCTGCATGTCAGAAGCCAGCTGGGAAGAATATAAATGGTGATTGCATGACTCAGGGATGATGAAACTGTCATAAATACATGGCACTTGCCAAGTGCCTGAATTATGATCACGTGGCCATGGGAATGCTGTGAAAACTGTTCATAAGTCATTTTTCAGTGTGGTTATGCAGTAGTGGGTTTCAATTTAGTTTGCGACTGGTTCGCTCGGGCGCGTGTATGTGTGCACTCGTGCATGCATGCAATGCTTCTGCACATGTGCAGAAACATCCGGGTGGGTGGGCGGAGCCTCCCTCTGCTGCCACCAGTTTGCCCGATCCAGGGTGAACTGGTAGCAACCTACCACTGCGGTTATGACTTCAAACAATCATTAAACAAGTAGTTGTAAATTGAAGACTACCTGTAATCCCCAAGAAGATGCACACAGACACACACACACTGATTGATGTGTGCGTATGTGTGTGTGTATCTTCTTGGGGATTACACACACACTCATGCATGCTTACATTAATATATATGTGTGTGTGTGGGTGTGTATTTGTATGTGTATGTGTATGGATATGTGTACTTTTTTGAAAGTGGGCATCAGAATTTTATTTTTAAATGTGTGCCATTGTGTTCGCAGAAAAAAGTGACAATAAAGGTTATCTTATCTTATTATTACATAGAATTAAATGCAGACACTGCCCTGACTATTGCTGATAACAAAATTGGAAAGAATTTCCAAAGCCATGATACGCATGTTACTCTGCATTGAATTTTGGAAAGAAATTAGTTAATAGTCTCAGGATTGTGTTTACCTGATAGCAGAATAACTCAAAACTATGTAGTATTTGGTCTGGCAAGATAAGCCACGGCAACAACGACCAAGCTAAAAGATGAGCTGGATATGGCTCCAGCCTATGAAGAAAAAAAAGAAATCCAGAAAATAAGCCCCTCCTCCAGCATTCCAACGGAAGACCCCATTGGTCAGCAGTTTGAATGGCGTGGCTGCCCCTATTCCAAGGCTCAGCCTGTGGAATACCTCGTTGTCCCTTAACCTAGAGCGGAACTCTTATCAAGGGCTTAGCTGAGGCCTGCTGGCTTGCTTTGCTTTGTTTTGCCCGGGACTCTACGCCTAGAAGGGGCCATTCATAGTACGATTCGAAACGGCCAGATGGATTTCTGTGTTTCCTTTCAGGCAATAAGATTAATAAAGTCCAACGTGATTTTCGGTTGCTGCTTATCCCTTTGACAGGCCGTTGATTTCAATGGGAAAAAGAACTCTGAGGTGGTGGGGGAGGGGAAATGCTGCCTCGCGGGCTACGGGGAGAACAGCGCCCTTTGCGGGGAGGGGCTGAGAGACACATTTTGCTTCTCCTCTCGGGCCTTCCAAAGGCGGCTAGAGGCGTCTCCGCTGACGGCGGGGGCTTCCTTCCAGGAACCGCTCCGAAACTTTGCTGACAGAAGGGAGCGCCACATAGCGCCCCGCCTGGCCACTCTCTGGGCCTCCGCCGACGGCCTTTCCTTTCTCGCGGGAAGGGTCGGGAGGCGCCTTTGCCCGAGAAGGGCAGCTGGTTGCGCTCCCCCTGCTGCCTGGGTAGAGGCTGTGGTCACTGTCTCTCCCTCTCAGTCCCAGCTCCGGGGCCTGCGCGCTGCGGCCTGCTCCGAGGATCCTCGGGCCTTTGGAGAGACTGACGGCCCCTCTGCCAGGGCCCGGCAACCGGCTGGGCGGGAGAGCGACTGGGCCGGGCCGGGTGGCGGCGCGCTGGTTCTTCGTCTTCTCCGCCCCAGGCTCATTACCAGCCCTTAATGAGACCCCTTTACTCCGTGACGTGCAACCGCTCCATCTCATTAAGGAAATCGCTCTTCAATGCTGATTATTTTATTTGCAGCCATAATTATATTTCTTTCGGCTAAATCACGGTTTAATCGAGCCCACATGGAGGGCAGCAGCGCTAATTACGGCGGGAGATGCGGTGGCGGTAGCTCGCCTCTTGGACTGCTCGGCTGAAGCAGAAGGCGACCGAGGCGGGGCCCGTCCAGGATGCCCAGGCGCTTCTCGCCACGGGGCGGGGGGCGAAGCCGGAGAAGAAGCGGTCGGGAAGAGGAGCGGGGGGGGGGGAAGGGGGGCCTGAAGCACAACAACTTATTACTTCTAATTCCCCAACTGTCACCAAATCACCTGCACGAAACAAGAATCTAATTTGTTAAGCTGGCATTTCTGCAGATGGAAGATCGATTTTCTCTTTAGATTTCTCTAATTGAGTGAATATAGACGCCCCGAATTAGCCGCATTTGGGGGCTGGAGGGAAAGGAGAAGAGGAATGGAGGTGGGTGCGAAGGGAGAGAATAAAAGAACCGGGTGGCCGGGGAGAGTCAACAAAAATCATCCTGGCAAAATAAGGCATCGCCACCTCCCGACCTGCCCCCGCTCCCCCCAGTAATAAAGGAGGGCTCGAAGGCCCCTCGATTGAGTGACAATCATATTTGTGGCACTAACTGGGTTTTAAAAGAAAAGGTTAGGACGGCTGGCGAATGCTAACCAAGCGGCAAAGGGGAAGAGAGAGAGAGGGCTGATCGCTGAAATTGCTTACAGAATTACATTTGTTTTTCTTGTGATTTTATTAAAAGTCACTCCTCATCTCCAGAATGCGTGAAAATATCTACTTTCCACTCAGATACACCGCATTAACTTGTTGGAGGCGAATTTGTTTGTTTGTCTATTTTATTTCTTTGGCTAGATAAGATTGATGCAGTCTTATTAGCGCTATATCTAGTTATAGAAAGAGATAAGGATGAGATGTTTTCTTTTTATTCCAATTACGAGGCTTGTCACCTAACTGAATAACTGATATATGATTATTTATCCTGAGCAAATAGAAATCAGAAAAGCGGCCCAACTTAACACATACAAACAAAAATATGTATGTTTCTTATTATAGTCAACCCCGGTAATTGGCCAGATTAACAGGGTGGCGTTGAAGACAGAAAGAAGGGAAACTTAAACGCTCGCTGTCAAGCTGCAGATAAATATTTTTGCCGCAGTCGCGTCTGATCGCCGATTTAGTAGTGGGGAGGGGGGCATTTTAGAAATACAAGCGAGGGTGATTTGTTGTTCTGCTCAGGTTGGGCTATTGCCAAAAATTGAGAGTCCTGGATAAACTTCGCAATACCTGTTTGGCCAAAGTTGTTTGGCTTTCAAGTTATATTTGTGTGTGTGTGTGTGTTTGTGTGTATGCACAGACACGCAATCGGTTGAATTAAGCGAAATAGCATGTTTCTTTCAAGTGGGCCTACTGAGAAGAAGGAAGCCGCTAATCATACTAATGCAAATAAAATACGAACACCACCACTAATAAAAGTAGGGTTTGGAATTGTCTGATTTGGTTTGTGCTAGAACATTGGGGGTTTTTTTGAGATGAAAGCTGTCTCTTAGTTCAGCAGCTTGCTCTCTCCCCCCACCCCACCCCAGGAAACCGATTGATGAGAAATTAATTGAAACGAGCCGGGCTCAAACACACCCTGGCGCACATAACTGGCGCCACGCCTCAGATTCTGCAAGCTGCGCTCTCTTTCTGCCTGCCTGGTCTATTTAGAAAGATACGTTTGCGGCATAAGAATCGGGGGGGGGAGCAGGAAAGGGGGAGAAAGGAAAGGAGCCGGGCGGGGGCCGCGATCTCGCTCTCCTTTTGGGTGGGCGTCCTCCTCCATTGGAGCTTTTCTCTTTGTGGCCGTTTCAACTCTGGGCTCAGTGGTGAAAAAATACATCCCAGTTAGATCCTTCGATTGAACCGAAATGCGAACCGAGCCGGAGTTTTCAAGCCAATCAGTGATCTGAGAAGTGGCTTGCTGAAATCCCTTTTCCTCTCTGTCCCCCTTCCTTTTACCGTCTGATCCTCCAGAACAGACCAGGACCACCAGCTGCCTGCCCGCCTCGGTTCGTCGGCGGCTCTCCAGTTCAGGGAGGGCAGGAGGCGCAAAGAGCTGAAGGAGAGGCGCGACAGGCCTTCCGACCCGGGGTCTCTTACTATCGCCGCGGCAGCCTGTTCCACTCACGTGGCCGCGCCCCTCCTGCCTTCCTTTTCTAAAAGTGGGCCTGTAATTTACAAGGAATTAAAATTGATTCTTTTCATCAAGCACAGAAAATAGGAAAATGTGAGATCGTTAATTATTGAGGGAGGCGCTTTCTCATTAGAGGCAGCGCTGTTACAATTCAGCATTTAAATAACTGCAAAGTGAGAATAATAATTATTGTAAGAATTCACATTTCAGCCTTTAAAAGACGCACTGATTTTTTTTTTCTCAGTGATTTCGTCCCCTTCCAGGGAAAACACAAAAGATGACACTTGTCTTCCAAAAACCAAAAAAGAGAGGTCCAAAACCGGCTACTCGGGCTGGGATTTTTTCCCAATAGAATCTGGATATAGCGCGGAAATAGAATTCTGCAAATCTGTGCCCTTTATGCCTGTCTTTGAATCAAAGTAACAATGGACTGGGTTTTAATAATATTAGCAATAATATAAAATAAGGCAAAATAAAATAAAAGTTTTAAAAAAGCGATCCACTCCTTCTGAGCACGGAACATTTATAAACTGTACAGATTCTGCACACCAGGATTGCCACGAAGATGACAACGTCACGCTCTTCGAAGTTTCAGAACACGCATTTCTATTTGCCATTTCTGTTTCTCCGGCCCCCAACCCTCTGTGCCCCAGGTGGCGCGAGACTTGCCAAATCAGGACCCCGGTCGGTCCCTGTGATGCCGTTTGGTTCCCCTGAAGAAATCGGGAAGGGAGCGAGGAAAAACCAGGGGTGGTGGCGAGGTTAGAATTTCCCTGCACGGAGCCCTTTGGCAGGCACTCTGGTACGAAATTCAATCTCTATTTTTTATGAGAAGTAAACCGTCTAAATAAATTTTATTAGGGGCAACCAATATATTTTTCTAGTCGCTCCCTTTGTTCCAGCCCTACGTGTGTGTAACAATCTAAAACCTATTTATGGTGGGAAAACTTGCCGGATCCGTCATAGAAAACCCGTTTACTTTGCGGGGAAAGTGATTTTCCCAAGCACGCCCTTGTCATGGTGGAGATTTGGGGACCAGAGCGCTAAGCCGAGCCTTGTTAGGGACTTCACTTTGCCTGATCAGGTGGGAAATACCTTCCATTATCCACGGAATGGCCTGACTGGCACTTTTCTGGCTGCGGAGGGGCGGGAGTGGGGGGTGGATAAAGCGAGGGGCGATGGAAAGGAAAGCGGGGGGGGATGACGAGGGGCGGCCCGCGAGAGGCTTCTGTAAGTGCACCTCGGCTTCAACTCTGGCAGCATCAAATCTTCCTTGCCAAATCTTTGGATCGCAAAGCCGGAGAGGACCGCAGGGGGAGGAGGAACCGGGGCGAGTCTAACTCTGGCAACCCAAGCTGCCCTTTCGCCTTCTCCGCCTTAGAGCCCCTTCGTTCCTTCCCTTCCTTTTCTCTTTTCGCCTCCTTTTTTTTTTTTCCCCCTTTTCCCAACCCCTCGCCCCCGCGCTTTCAACTCTCGGAAGGAATGATTTAGTTTGTTTATCCTGCTATAAAAATCAAGAGCAATAGAAAAGTCATAAAAAGCAACGCGCCATCCATCACGCCGCAGCCTTGTTTTCCCGCGGCTCCTAAGCGAGATGGATCAGCCGCGGGCTTCGGCCCCCTTGTTAGCGCGCGGAGGGGCCTGCGCATTAACGATCACGCTTTTTATTTATCGACCTGGCAGCGGCCGAGCCCAGGATCAGTGGAGGGAGCCGAAGCGGGGGCTGGGGGGGGGGCAGCGTAGGAATACCCCGGAAGTTGGGATCGGGCCCCTAACTGAGAGGGAGGGGGGGTTGGGATCGGGTACAGAGAGCCGCCCTCCAAGGTGGGACGTGAGAAAAGAAGGTATGCGGGAAGCGAGTCGGCGGAACTCAGGGACACTTGCTTTCTCTCGGCTTCGGGCAATTTACCTTCAGGAGAGAAGGAAGGCCCGCAGTCAGTCTTTGCCATCACAGGCTTAGTCCCACTCCCTTAAGAGAAGGAGGAGGGGGCTCTCGGTATAGAGGAAAGCGACCATCGCAGCCGTCTTGAGCCGCGGCTCCTGGTCTCAAACCGCGCCCGCAGGCTGGCGCCCCCGTAGCAGCATCCTGAGCCGAGAAGCCAGGCGCTTAGCGACCGGCGCATCCTTTGTCTCCGCCTCGAGGGCCAGGCAGAACCAACCTGCCCAAGACCCCCCCCCACCCTTTCAACGACTGCCCACTGCGCCCGGTTTGTGGGAGACACTTGGGCGGCGAAGTGCCGCTGCCACCTCCCTCCCACAGAACCTTTTTTTGGCCTTTGGAGTCTTCAGCCCATAGGCTACGGGGTGAATCTCGCGGCCTCGCTCTTCCCCCCCCCCTCCTTCCTTTTTCTTTGGGTGCAAGCTTTCTTTGCACTAAATGAATAATCTTAATTGCATCACTTTCGAATTAAAAATCAATGTTAATCAAGCTAGAAGTAGGAAATATCAGTTTTCATTGTGCCTGGCCTAGTTGGCATTTCCCTCCTTTTGAGAGTAAGGAGGAGATTAAAAAAATCAAATAACTTTAAAAGGCCATTCTGTTCTGCTACAAATACAATTGAAACGGATTGTTTAGAAGCGGATCAGAAACGGTACAGAATTTTGCACTTAATTTCCTCCGTTATCTTTTACAATAAGGACCTCTTGCCTTGACAGCCAAGTCTAAACAGTAGTAAATTAGTACAAATTTATACTGATTTTACTCTAATAATCGTAATAAAAGCTTATAGATTTGGCACTAATTACATAAATGCCTAATGATCTTGAAAATTACTCTGGTTAGAAATATATTACTAATCTAAACTTTGTTGTTGGCTGGCTTTGAAAAATCAGAACATTAGAAATGGTTCGCTTCCCTTGTGCAAAGCACTTAAAATTGTTGGGATAGTTTAACATATTCAAGAAGAAAATAATGTTTTCGATTTATTTTTTTTAAAAAAAAACTTTATTTACTGCCTTCAATTGAGTTTGGAGAAGATGAACTTAGAAACTTTCACACCCGCCAAATGGACCGATGCCGGCCGGCATTTCTGGCGCTAGTTTTCTAAGCCAAACCGACAGCTGGAATTACATCTTGTTTTTAAATATACAAATATTTAATTCAAGGGGACTAAGATCATAGGAGGAGGGAGAGCGAAGAGGCATCCCGATTGGAGTATAAATTTCATCAGGGTTACGCTCCACTTTGTTCCAATCATCCCAGACTGTAGCTTTACCAAGTTTGAAGTGGTCGGATTAGAGACCCTTTAAATAAAGACATCCAGCAAGTCATCCCTCTCTGCAGTTGTGTGGGACCTCTTGGCCCCTCTTTCCCCCGGGCCCAAAAAGGTGGGAGAAGTGCCCACCAGAGGGCTCAAGGCCTCCCTGCGATGAGAAGGAGGCCAGGCACCCCTCCAGCCATTGGCGTTTCCCCCCCAAAATGCCCCTTTTATTGCCTTGGCTTTGTCAGTCATTTCCAATTAATTTGATCAGGAGGTCAGAAGAAGAAGAAGAAGAGGACGACGAGGACAAGGAGGAGGCGGGCGGGTTGTGGGGGAAGATTGTCCCTAATGCAGTCAATCAGTCGGGGGACCGAATTGGAAAGGGGGCTTTAAAAGCCCAGCCCGCGCGGCGTTCGGCTGGCGCGGCAGCGGCGGGTGCCGTGGCTGCGGGCGGGTGGAGCGGGGACTCTCTGGGTGCTGACATTTGCAGGCTGCCCTCCTGATTGGTCCCTTCGCTGAGCTGCTCACGGGTTCACTGAAGTGTTAAGCACCTCCCCGTCTCTCTAAAGGACATTATAATGCAAGAGACCCCCTTTTTAACCACACACCGAATTTTCTTTCATTTAGGCGATCTATATATAAATATATATCCATAAGCTGTGCGGAGGACCTAGATCTATTTTAACTTGCCCCCCTTTTTTTCTCATAAAAAAAATCAACAACCAACCGCTAAAATTTGGGGGGGAACAGCTTTCGCCCTGGAGCGGTGCGCGATGCTCTCACACGCCGACCTCCTGGACGCCCGGCTCGGTGAGTTGCCCCCAAGCTTTTTCCCCCCTTTTCCCCTGCTCCCTCTCCTCATCGCCAGCAGCCCAGGAAGAAACCGAGAGCAGGAAATTGACAATTTGTGCCTGATTTTACCTTAATGCGATCTAAATGGGCTAATTTCTTTAAAAGTAATTGTACTGTATTAAAGTTTAATTTGATTTAACATCGCCTCTTTTTAAAAAAAAAAAAAAAACAACAACTATGGAATATGTAGATCTAAAAGCGCAATTGGGGGCCATTTCGCTTGGAGTTTTGCCCCCTCTTCCTCCTCCTCCTCTTCTTCCTCCTCCTGGTCTTCGCCTTGGTTGTTTTCTTTCTTTCTTTCTTTTTTATTTATTTTGTTTCCCTTAAGTTCTTGTTAAAGAATTGAAGACATAGATTGATTTATAATTTCAGGCATTTGTTGGGGTTTGGATAAATGGCTGTTGAGCCAAAGGAACTTACTTCTCGCTCGGGCGGGAAAGGGGCGGCCAGGGCCCCCATGCCGGGGCTCCTATTTAAGCGGGATGGTACTCGAGTTCCTTCCAAGTTGGCGGCTCCCTTCCTCCGGCGTGCCCGGGGCAGGATCCCGGCTCCGGCGCTCGGGGAAGGCTGCCGCCTTGCCCGCCTTTAGTGGATCCGACGCTGAAGCGTGGTGGGCCGCTGCTTTGCCTCCGCAGGAATGAAAGACGCCGCCGAGCTGTTGGGCCACCGGGAGGCCGTGAAGTGCCGCTTGGGCGTCGGAGGCTCGGAGCCCGGAGGCCACCCGGGGGACCTGGCGCCCAACTCGGACGCGGTGGAAGGGGCCACGTTGCTACCCGGAGAGGACATCACCACGGTGGGTTCGACGCCGAGCGCGCTGGCCGTGAGCGCCAAAGACCCCGACAAGCAGCCCGGGCCGCCGCAGAACCCCAGCCAGGCCGGACCGCAGCAGGGCCAGCAAAAGCAGAAACGGCACCGGACGCGCTTTACCCCGGCTCAGCTCAACGAGCTGGAGCGCAGCTTCGCCAAGACCCACTACCCGGACATCTTCATGCGCGAGGAGCTGGCTCTGCGCATCGGCCTCACCGAGTCGCGAGTCCAGGTATGCGGCTGAGCCACGGCAAGCCGGCCCTCTGCCTCCTTGCTTTCCTTCGGCCTCGGCAAGGGCCGGAGCAGCGCTTCCCCCCCACCCACCCACCCCCGGGAGCCCAGGGCCCTGCCAGGCCAAGGCTGGTCCTCCTCCTTAGGTCCCGGCCCGAGCAATCAGGCGCAGAACTGGGAGAGTCGGAAAGGCGAGCCAAGCAAACGCTACAGCCATCCCGATTCCCTAACCCCGGGATAGAAAAGCTTTCAGGTTGCCGTGGCCCTTCTAAAGTTTGCCTGAAATGAAAGGATAAAAAGGCATCACAGGGGCAAAGGCTTTTGCTTTCAAGAGGTGAAGACGAATAATAATAATAATAATAATAATAATAATAATAATAATAATAATAATAATAATAATAATAATAATAATTTCGCCCGATTTGCTCCCAGCGCAAGGTTGAGCGGCATCGTAGATTTCTAGCGATGCTTTTATTTTGAACCTGCAAATTTAGTTGCTGCACTGCAACGCTAGGAAATTGGTTTCTGGTGCAACAGACTCCTTACTTAATTTAACTGCCACCAATTTCAGGGGGACAGATCTCCGAATAAAATCTTTGTGAAAGAAAGCTTAGAGGTTTTTTATTCGTTCAGAGAATCTCTAGATCGACTCAAACTTTTTATTTGTGAACATGATAAATATATTTGAGAAAAGATAATATATTTGTAAAACGATGATTAAATTTGGTACATAGAAATAAATTTGGATTCACTTTAGTTCATCAAGTAGATATTATTTTAATTGTTCTAATTCTGATATCAAATGATTTGAACTGGATTTGTGAGTCATTTTAAAGCAACTGCGCTGTCCTTAGTCCTGAACTTTTCTTTCCCTGATTATTTCGACCTTAGATTACACTACTTAAATATTTTGAAATCTAGTTTTACTTAGAGTCTAAAAAAATTCCATCGAAAGTTCGTGTTTTAATCTTATTAAATGTAGTTGGATCCAATAGAAATCGTCTTGGCTTGGCATTAAAAGGACAAAGAGAATTAAAAATCTGCTAATTTATTTCCAAACAAATTTTGATACAATTGGAGTATTGTCTGACTTTGCAGAGCAGATCTAATTAATTCATTGGCAACTGGAGAATGCCAGTGGAAATTCAATGGCATTTTTAAACTTGCATTTAGAAATCCTTAAGAGTTTAAAATATGTCTTTTCTGGATTGTTATCACCCATCTCTTTATTTTAAACACTTCCAGAAAAATAATAAACATACTTAAAAGGGAGATATCTGCAAATTAGGCCTATATTGTACAAAAATAAAAAGTGTCCAATGGCATGTTTCAATGAATAAAACTTAAGACATTTTTAAAAAAAAAAATATTTTTCACAAGTAATAAGATTTAGTTAGAATACAACAGATATTACTATGAATTATATCTCAAGATTTCAGCTAAAATAAAAGGGTCATTTAGTTGGTGACAAAATTAAAGAAAACAAGATCATGTAAATTTCATTGGATTTTGGCAAAGGTTAATCAAAGCAGTTTTATTACCAGAAACTTGATTTTTTAAAAAAGCCAAAATGCAAATATATTAAGGAAATGGTGGTTATTCATGTATTCTTCCCTCAACCAATACATTCCACAGAATGTTATTATTTATATGCCACTACAAATGTTTAATAAAAAAGGCAAATACACAGATTTTAAATTAAATGATTTTAGTTTTATTCTCATGAACTGAAAATGTACATTGACTTTGATTTACAATCATGTAGTAATATCCATGCCCTTAAAATCTCTTACCCTGGCTCTTTGCAACTATCTAAATTATTAGTTTAAAAATACAATTAAAATGTAGATTTTTTTAAAAAAATGAAAATATATAATTGCCTTTCTCTAGTTACATCTTACACTAAAGCCAATTTCCATAGACTTCAAGACTTTCTTATAAGCAAGCACAATTACATCAATTGGATTTATCTCTCAGTGAATTGCAAGCTAGAAAAAATATCTTAATAACCGCTACATAATCCTACAGTCTTCTAATAGCTTCAGGCAGCTGAATAGAAACAGTTTAATCGAGTGGCAATTTAAATATTCTTTACAATAATGTTCTGCAGTTTAAAAAGTAATCAAATCAACATAACCTTCTTAATTAACACTTCAGAATGATTAACACTATGTAAGCTTGTGCAAAAAATAAATTATGGGAAATGTATTTACTTCCCAGTTCATTGTATTCTTGCTACTTGACGAAATGGAAGAGTAATGGCTGAGTTTATGGTCTCATACCACCTTTTCGGTGCGTGGGGACTCTACACATATCCAAAATGCTTCACACGCCCGCTTTTACTGCAGCAGCCTTGGATGTACCCTTACATGCAAGAATAAATTATATCTTTTCTATTTTCTGGTCTACATTTTAAAAAGCTATTCCTGCTTGTCAAGGCAGAAGCTTATTCTCCTTTATGTTACTGCTGTACTATTCCCCCTATCTCCCCCCCCATCTTCTCAGACTGGGTGTAATAGTAATAAAACCATTCTTTTTATAGCATGCCATTATTAGAAACCAATTTCAGAATTATTTATAACCCAGAATGGCTTATTAAGCAGCAATGTGAGAATCATGCAAATGACAGCGATCCAATGCAATATAATAAGCATAATCATTAGTCTCTCGTGCTGATTAATTAACTTTCAATATTTTATTTACATAAAAAGCAAATCAGTGAAATAACTTCTGCTCAGCCCAAGCTTGCCTTTCAATATTTTACACCAACCTAAAAATAATGTGCAAGGATTCCATTGACCGTGTCCCTCTGCGCTGCCCATGTCACCTGCCACATCTTAATAGGGGACAAGCTGAGAGTATTTTCTAGTTTTCTAATGGAATGAGAAATTGCATTTTCTTCCTCTCCCAGCAACTATTAAAGCGTAATGAATTCGGCCTAGAGTTCACGGCTGGCTGATCGAAATGAACCTCAGATCTGAGCTTTAATGCAGCTCTCCAGATTTCCTACCAAATCTTCCCATTAATCATCTGATGGATTCCAGTGAGATCTTCATAAGGCTTTGGGAGAAAATAGAGAGGGGAATAAAAAGAGGAAGGAAGGAAGGAAGGAAGGAAGGAAGGAAGGAAGGAAGGAAGGAAGGAAGGAAGATAATATTCCCTTGACTACTTCTCCCCTGTTTATAGCTGGGGGATTAACAGAGCTATGTATCTCTAAATACATTTACAGTGTGTCTATATTACTGTAACTACAGATTATCATGAAAATAGAGTTTCAAATTGCAAACTCCATTAGACCCTTAATACCATATTAATATCATTGGCTGATGCAGAAGCTGAGAGATAATTGTTGGTATGCCAATCTCAAGGCAAAGTTGCCCAAATGCCTCTGGCTAATATATTTCCAGAGCCAAGCTGTCAAGTGTGCTTTTTCCAAGTATCCTTCTGGTTCTTGCTCCTGTTTAATCTGTCATGCACTGGTTTCCAAGTGGATACATCCACATTTTCAAAAGCATATGCACTGTTGCTCTGAAATGAGGTGATCCAGACTTGATGGAAATTCTTTTACAACCCCAGTAAACCATGACACATAAAATGATTTTGTGGCCACCATTTAACTAACCCTAAAACGTAATTGAACAAAATTCTTTCCCCTCTGCTCCACATCTTCCCCTCCCTTCTATTCAATTATTATTCTTATAACATTTAGACACTTAACAGCTGTTCTTTCTTGCTAATGGGCCCAAGCACGTTTCCCAGTCTAAATAAAAGGGATTGGAAAAATATGTCTCTTCTTGGGACCCATACACCCCCAAAGTCAAGGCTCAGAAAGTGTCCTGGAGATTGTTTGAACAATGGTGTTGTTGAAAAAAGCAAAGAGCAATCTCATTTTCAAACAAGGTGGAAATTGTGGACAAATCTGTAGTCCATATTACTCTGAAATTAACAAATGTGCTCCCTAAGGAGTTATGCCATTCTTAATACATGAACACAAAGATTAAAGATCTGTTAAAAGTGTTTAACAGAGTTAAAAGATTTGGAGAAAAAAAATGATAGAAACTGATCAGGAAACAACTAGTTTCTCCTTCTCTGAATAGTATCTTTATTATCTTTTAAACAAGTGGATTTTTTAAAATATATTTTTACCCTACCTTTATAACTCAAGATGGCAAACATACATAATACTCTTTCCTCCTCCTATTTTTCTCATGACAACAACCCTGTGAGGCAGGTTGGGCTGAGAAAGTGTTTGGCCCAAAGTCACCTAGCTGACTTTCATACCTAAAACTGGACTAGAACTCAAGTGTTCTGGTTTCCAGATCAACATCTTAACCACTACACCAAACTGGCTCTAAGCTTGAGAATGCAAAACGAAACAGAATACCTACACCACTTGCCAGTTGACAGCACCCAGGCTGATTAAAAACAAACCATATTCGCATAAAGCAAGAACAGACAATAGGAAAAGCCAAGCCAATTGGCTAAACAATAAAACAACAATAAAAGTTTAGCCTGGTTAAACTTTAGCTGGAGGAAGAGGACTGAAGGGCCAGCAACACATTCTTTTCAAACAGCAATTCATGAGCAGGCCCCTTCACTTAAAACAAATGACAGTTTTATAGATAAATATTGTATTTGAGATATGAACTGAAACAAAGAATACAAAGCCTAAATAAGAGAACAGAGAAAGCTAACTGAAGGACACAGGTCTATATGTGAATTAAATGGAGTTTGTTTAGTATTATATTTAGAGCTAATTGTGACAATCCTATTATACTTATTGTCATGCTTAAAATCATAGTGGTTGTTAGTTTTGAAGAGAAATCACACTTGTGTAATTTCCAAAAGCTTTTAAATAAGTACTTATTTTTAGGAGTGGATTTTTAAAGGGTTCTTGAATTAAAAGGTTAAATGGAAGTGAAAAAATAAGCATAGGTAAGGTCAATAGTAGCTGAAACTAATGAAACCTTGGTTAACTAAAGCATCAGTGTGAATGCCTAAAACAAAATTCTGTACACATGCCAGAGCAGCTCCCTTAAGGTAACATTTTAGTAAGTAATCTTGCAGCATTTGAGATTAATCCCCAATTTCAAAATTAATACTGAAATGTTTCCATTGAAATATCTAGATAATTGCTTAACTTTACTGAAATTTAGCTGAAGAAAATTTAAATTGCACACCTATTATACCTAAGCAATGGCTTTTTGTTTCCAGTGTGGAAAATATGGTTATTTTAGATGATTAGAAAATATGAGACCCAATATAAAATAATTATGTCCATTCTCATTATAAATTCATTTGGAATTTCTGGGAAAAAATGGGGAACTATTGGACAATTAGTCTAGGGTACCTCTTTCTTTTAAAACCAAATGCAATATTTGAACTGCTGTTAAATTCATTAGATCTTGGTGGAACTCATTGTATGCTGTTACACTGAGCCCTGAGACATCTTTTATTTTCAAAGGCATTATTTTAATTCTTGGGTCAGAGGAGGATGCATTGAACCATATAGTGTAATCTTCTTTGGGTTATGTATAAAAAAGTCACATACATGAATATATTTGGAAAAAATAGACTGAATCATACTGGATAAACATTTATCTGGTCTGCATTCTTCTTAAAACATTTTAACTGGTGGGGTTTATGAAAAGAGTTTACTCCAATAATGTGAACTGGTGGCAATTACCATACTAGTATTAGGCATACCACTGATTTAGAAGCGCCAGTAAGTATTCAAATGGTACTTACTTGCATAAATATCAACATACAGTGGGTCTTAGTAAGTTGCTGCTTTAGGATATTTGTACGCAACATGACACTCTGTGTGTTACTGAATCCAAGGCTGAACTTAACGATTTAGCAATAATGGTTGTTTGTATGACTTCCATCCTTAAGACTGAGAATTAAGGATATAAAGTCCAACACAGAAACAGATAAAATGAAGGCTGCCATGTATTTTTCAACCTTCATTTTGCTGTGGTTTGGAATGTAAATCTCCACATCTTTAATATTATACCATATCAGTATTAGTGTGTGTGTGTGTGTGTGTGTGAGTGAGAGAGAGAGGGAGAGACAAAAGATTTATCAGGAATGTGCTACTAATTCTTGCACATGTAGCAATAATGGAAAGGTAGAAGTACTATTTGGATATATTTGTTGATTAATAGAAGTCAGTGTCAAACGTATCAAAATAAGGAGTACTATATAAATTTAGACCTCTCCTCTTTCTTTTAAAATATAAAAATGCAGCCCAAATTACCATGACTCCCTCAATCATGTTGCATTATAGCTATAGTCTAATCTAATGTGATGATGTATCTGCTTTGATTATACTGTTTGGCTATTGTGTATTTCTGATAAGTTGGTCAAATAATAGCTTCAGTGGAATGAAGTACAATACTCAGCAATGAAGTATAGTACTTATCAATAAACTATAATCTTGCACCAGGTAGTTTAATCTGAATTCTAAAACTTCATTAGATTTAAATGCAAGGATTTTATTATTCAGCAATGTGGAGATAAATATAATGATACTTATTTAAAAGTATTTATTTTTAAATCAGTGCTAGTAACATGCTGGGGCAGAAAATAACAATTGGATCTGTTAATGGAATGTTATAGCTTATAAGCAATTTAAATCCAACTCTACATTTTAGTTTCTTTTTTTTTTTCTATTTGCCCACTACCGGTAGCATCCCCTGAATGTAACAAAGTTCTCAATATTTAAGCAGATAAAAGAAGTAACAACTACAGTACAGCAAAATTATCCTGACAAAAATAACCTAAATGTTTATTAAATGCAATGTATATTATTAGTAAGGTAATGGTGATGCTTGAGACAAATACTGTATTTCATTACAGAACAGAAACTAAGCATTGTATATTTACAATACAAGTTCAGTTTTGTTCTGTCCCTCGGACCATCTGTGTTTCGAACTGGCAGATGCCCCTTATTTAAAAGGAGATTCTTCCTTTTTCTACCAAAATCCCAATGGAAATATAATAGCCGCCCTTCACTATATATTCCTTTGTTTGTTAATTGAGTAACCATTCCCTGCTTCAGACGAAGTAGGAGAAAGCTCGCTTTCGCACAGAGGTTTCCACAGGGTAGCCCTCCTCTGGGTCTTCGGGGTTTCCTCGGCCGCTCAGGCCTTCCCGGGGACCGGGTGGCCTTACGGGGAAGGGTGGGGGCACGCCCTTGCGGCTTCGCCCGATGACAGCTCAGTCCTCCGTCGGTCTAACCCGGCCTTCTTTTCTCTTTCATGGGCCCTCTCTTCTCCTTTCCTTCTTCGGCGGCGACGGCTGATCCGAGCAGGTCTGGTTCCAGAACCGACGGGCCAAGTGGAAGAAGCGCAAGAAGACCACCAACGTGTTCCGCGCCCCCGGCACGCTGCTGCCCACGCCCGGCCTGCCCCAGTTCCCTTCCGCCGCCGCCGCCGCCGCGGCAGCCATGGGCGACAGCTTGTGTTCTTTCCACGCCAACGACACGCGCTGGGCCGCGGCCGCCATGCCGGGGGTGTCGCAGCTGCCCCTGCCGCCGGCCCTGGGCAGGCAGCAGGCCATGGCGCAGTCCCTGTCGCAGTGCAGCCTGGCGGCGGGCCCCCCACCCAACTCCATGGGCTTGTCCAACAGCCTGGCGGGCTCCAACGGCGCCGGCCTGCAGTCGCACCTCTACCAGCCCGCTTTCCCTGGCATGGTGCCCGCTTCCCTGCCAGGCCCCAGCAACGTGACGGGCTCGCCGCAGCTCTGCAGCTCCCCGGACAGCAGCGACGTGTGGCGGGGCACGAGCATCGCCTCCCTCCGCCGGAAAGCGCTGGAGCACACAGTCTCCATGAGTTTCACCTAATGGCGCCCCCACCTTCCCAGCCAGCAACCTCTCCCAGCCGCGCCTCCCGTTTTCCCGCCTTTTTCTTCACCTCCGTCCGGCCTCCCTGCTCTGACCCGAGCGGATCGCCTCGTTCCCGCCATTTTTTCCCCACCTTTTTAACCTAAAAGAGGAGGGGGAACCACTCACTTACCAGGGAGCCGACTCAGGATCTGAAACCAATGGGCTAGTTTTGTGGGGGAGAGAAAGACGCAAGTAAGGGCGCGCACACACACACACACACACACACGCGATCTCCGGTGAGCAACCCGGGCAAGTTCGAGCTGCAAAGGCGGAGACGGAGCCAACGCGTGTCTTAATTAAGATTTAAGAAATTCCTATCCTAAGGACTCAGCGGACCTCGCTTAAGTTCTGTCGAAGTTGCTCCCCGACCTACTCCTCACCCAGATCCACAGGAAAACGATAGATATATGTGCGTGCGTGCGTCTGTATAAAGTATATATGTATATACACACATGTACGTGTACATGTATACACACGTATGCATGTGTGTGCGTGTATACATACATACATACATAAACAATAGCCACGTTTTTTGCAGGGGTTTTGATAGCAGGTTTTTGAACGGGCGGCCGAGCTCGACCTTCGGGCGGGCGCGGTGGCGGCGGTGAGAACAGTGGCGATGACGTGAATCGTCCAGGGAAAACAGCCCATTTGATAACCCTTTTTAAGCGACGGGAGTCGAATTCAAATGAATTTTTTTTTTAAAGGCGGCACAGAAACCTCCGCCCCTTCTTTTCCCGTCCTTCCCATTTTTGATGGGCTATTTAATTTCTAGGGCGATCCCGTTTCAGCTTTGGCGCCCCTCATTTTTTTCGCTTTGTTTCGGCCGCAGCCCCGCGCCCTCTCGGAGCAGCGGGCGAGCGACGCCTGGCTAGCGTGGACCCGAGAGACCTCCAATCTGGCGAAGACTTTGTACAGATACAGCAAGCCGCTATTTCTCCCCCCTTTTCTGCATGTGCTGGTCCAAATCCAGAGAACAGAAGCTGTTTCGAAGAATGAACCCACGGTGAAATAGGATGTTTTGTGTAGATAAAGCATTCTTGTTACATACTGGTCGATTTGTGATATGTTTTAAAAAAAAATACTGTCTGTGCTTATTTATTATGGAATTTTGGGTTTCTTAATAAATGTTTGAGCCTATTACAAACCTATGATTTGACTTTTCCCAGCGAGTTGGCACCACATTAATGTAAATGGATAAATAAACTCATTTGCTAAGCGCGTAGTGGGAACCACGGTTGTGAGATAAGAGGTATTTTAAAACGAGTGAGCAAATAATTCATCCCCCCCCCCAGTTTGGAATGGGGAGAATTGTCACATGTTTTGGGAATAGTTGGCTGATTTTGCAGTGAAGCTGCAGCATTCCTTAATTACAATTTCAATAAACCGCTTGATCTCTTTGTGTCAAATGACTTAGTATAAGAAGCAAGGTTCTAATGGAAATAGCAGCAGCAAGAAGTATCTGAATCTAAAACAAGCACTTGCTTGCTTGATGCACATATAAGGGTTACAATAAAAATGGCAAATACCCAAGTTCCTTTGTTCTGGTGGTGAACCATTTGCAACAAATAATATTTTTCTTGGTAAGTTCTGAGCAAAACATTTGATCAGACCAAGCTACCATAGAGGACACAAGGCATTCAATAGGAAAAAAGCCTCTTCAGATTTCTTAAAAATAATATTGCTTGTGTATATTTCATGTGGATTACGAACTCTGTGAACGACAGAGAGAAAAACAGAAGCCACCTTTTGTGACTATATTGGTAGTAAAAAGGGCAAATATTAAGATGGTAGGCTTAAATAATGTCCCATTTTTTAAAATCTTAAATTGAGTAAAGATTGGAGGGAGGGTGAAATGAAATTGAATGTACTCGGGAAAACAGAAGGTACATTTGCCATTCATCTTTTTCCTGGCTCTGGAATTAGTGCCTGTTCTGGTTGCTGAGACTTGCTGCCACGGCAGAAGATGCTCACTTCCCTTCCTTGCGCTTTTGCAAAGTTGGTCTCAGAAAGGCCAAGTGAGGTTGCCAGGCACCAGGCAGAAAAGGACTCTGTCCTATTAATGGGATGCGCTCACTTCGTTTATGTCTGCACATCAATTACACATTTCTTAATTACACACTGGAGGATGCCATGTCCGGGAGCCTTTCACAGGAGGGCATTGCTGGCTCCCAGCGAGCATCACCCAGGATACACACACACACACACACACATAGAGTAATAATTTTGCTCCCCCCCTCAATATTTTAAGGAATTTTTAATTTCAAAATGACAACTGTTTATGATTAAATAATGCCTCTGAAAAAGACGTCTAATTAATGTGAGCTTTATGATACAGCATTTAAACAGCCAACACAAAGGCTGAAAATGTTTCAACATAAGCAATCATTCAAAAAATAAGTTCTATAGATTCCCTATGCTTCAAGCAAAAATATTACCCTTATGGTACTCCTGATGACCTACTATTGCTTTGGAAAATGGCTACAGTACTCTTGAAATTTTAATATGCTGTTTGTTAAACTGGGAACAGCATCTTTATCCAAACAATGAGTTTAATGTTTTAATTATTTTAATTAAACATGCAGCATCAGAGGAAATTTGGTCTTGAGTATACATTTAGAAGAATGGTTCTGTTTTGTTTTTTAATTTTAAAATCACTTTTGTGTTCTCTTGGGCCAGGATTCATTTACTGGTGTACTCTAATCTCTGTATTTTTCTATACTTCAGCTAGGAATCTCTGATGGATTCTAAATAATAGCGTATATTTAAATATTAACCTTGAACACAATAGTGGTTTTGAAACATAATAAAGAGTTCTTATTTAACCAGGGCCCCGTTTGGTATTTCCCTATAAAGAGGCATCTTTCTAGCCTGCCTTTTGTCTCTTAATTTAGATCATGGTATCCTTATCGTGTGCTTTTATTCCATTTTTGTGTCTTTTACCTACTTTTAATGTATTTTTTTAAAATAAAAGAATCTCCCTCTTCTTCGGATCTTGTTTGTGTGGTGTTCTTGGATTAAAAAGGTCCTAATTTTGAGCAGTTCTATTAACTCCATTTGGCACATAGAAAATCTAGTTTATGACAATTAAAATGGCTATGAGGGCAGACTTAGGGTTCGTCTATTCAACGCTTTAGCATTGCTTCAAAAGCAACATCACCCCTTGATCTCACACCACTTATCCTAATAGGCAGCTGAGCCGGGTTTTTTCCAGTTCAGTTGTAAAGTAAGTCAAATTGGAACACTTCTGTATTTTTCTTCCCTTGCAACTGTTAACCTGCTATAACATTTTAGTATTCTCACATTATGCTTCAGATCAGTTTTGCCTAATGACCTGTTTGTTTGTTATTTTATCGTTTTTTTTCCCAGCCTTCTACCACAAAAGCAAACACAGTTGGAAGCTGAGTGCCACCCGATTTCAATTGGGGGTTCCCTATAGGTCAACAGGAGGGACTGCTGGCTGGTTCATCATGAGTTCTCACACTGGCATGGGTAAAGACAATTGTGGGTCATTATAAGATGAATTCAGAAGATGTGAGGAGTGACAATGGTGACTGTGTGGAAATGTCCATAGTTAGGAAACTGCAGCAATGTCTAAAATTAAACTAGGAGATCCCAAGCAAATTCTAACTTCTAACTGAAAGTACCTGCTAAGGCCTAAGGCAAGTAACTGTTCTTTCACTTTGTGAGTTTCCTAATGAGGCACAAGAAAACCTTGAATTATTCAACAAAGAGCTGTCTCCAGACATGGTTCTTTGACTAGGGTTCTTACATAATGTATCTTTTAAATGAATGTATTATTTTCATGTAGAAAATGCTTATGTGCATAATTACAATATTAATGACGAGCACCCAAAAATGTAGCATACAAAATAACTCTTCGGTCCTCACATCCTAATTTGCAATATGGAGGTAATGATATATCTAATGTTATTAAATAATATTGATATAGCATTTTGAGTGCCTTTTTTGCAAAGTCAGAATAACCCAACTGCCAAGCTAGCTAGGTTACAAGCATTGTTAAACTATAGGAAGAATTAGCAATACTCCTAAGAGAATTCCACTGAAATCAGTAGTGATATTGGTATTTTAGTAGAGCCAGTTCAGTGTAATGGTTCAGGCACCAGGCTAGAAACCATGATACCCTGAGTTCTAGTCTTGCTTTAGGTACAAAGTCAGCTGGGTGGCCCTTGGACCAGTCACTCAGCTCTAGGAAGAAGGCAATGAAAAATCACCTGTGAAAAACCTTGCCACAAAAACTGCAGGGACTTGTCGAGACAATCTCCAGGAGTCAAGATTGACTGGAAGGCACTTATTTATTTATTAATGATAGTAACATGACAGAAAAGCAGTAAAAATACACTATAATATGCACAATAATCACCAATGTCCATAGCATTCCTGGGCTCCCTGGCTGGTGCTAAATGGGTGACAACTATCAGATGCAGCCAAACTGCCTCTTGGGTTTCATGGCCATGATAAAGTATATACCTCAAAAGTATTTAAATAAATAAATGAAATCACTATATAGTATTTAAGATGGAAAAGTATATTAAAATTGACCAGCTGGTATAAAGCAGTCTTCCTCAATCTGGTCCCTCACAGAAATGTTGAGATTAGAATTTCAGAACTCCTAACTTGCCTGATTGATAGCCTTCATGGCTGAGTATTTCGGCTGTTGTACAGTAGTCCAAAAACATTTGAAGGATAGCAGATGGGGAAAGGGCTCTTTCAAAGTCTGGTGCTTTAATATACCTAAGTATTTAATCTCACTAATGTCTGTTCTGGATACATGAACATGGACTGCAGTGTTCCTCATGTTAATTTAAAAATGCATTTAAATATCATGACACATGTCTGTACATTCAGATAAAATAGGATTGAAATAATTGTTACACTTGTCTGAATAAAACTGACTATATATCAATTCCTACACATTCCAAAGAACTGAACCAATGGCAACTATGTCCTGATGATATAGTTGTAATGTTAACACAACATAATCATGTCAATATGGGAACAGTATGGTTTTGTTTATCCATTTGAAATTGTGCATAACAGGATCATTTCACTTTTAGGAGATCTGTACATATCTGCCAGTTTCTACTTTCCAAAAAGTAGCAAAGGTTGTTTACAAGTATGTTAATTTTAATATGATATAACTTTAAGTGCAACAGGTTTATGATGTAGCTATGCAACAAAACAGTGTTTTCAAAAGCTTTTAAAAACTCCCAACCACATGCTTTAAGACGGTAGGGTGAGATGAGCACTTAAATTGGAGTGAGGTGAAAATTCTGAGCCAAAAGTAGAACTCCTTTCACTAATGGAAAATTCTGAAGCGTTGTAAAAACATTTTCACTTAATTATCATCCTTCCCAAATATCCATCATATTATCAAGAGTTTAATGAAAAATGTTGTGCTGATTCTGAATGAAGTTTCTTGATTTCATGCAGGCATTTGTTTCCATGGCAATAGATGTTTGCCTTAGATAAAGGCTTGGAAATTAGTGGAACCAGATGATCTGGGGTCCTATAGGGGAAATACTTGCTTCTGTCTATCATAGGAAAAATGATGCACTTAAATCAGGAATGCGGGGGGAAATGGAGTGCAATGTATTGGTGATTTTTATTGTGCAAAGTGCCTTACAAACTCTACTTCATACACATCCACATCCACAACAACATTTTACATATCGGACTCATTAATTTATGATTGAGGTAGATCATGGCTTGCTCAGGCCCTTTAGTTAATAGCCAGAAACTTTCATGCTTAATTTTAACATGACTTTTTTGTTATTAATAAGCCTACACAATTAATAAGTACTCTGTACTACTAAATAGGAGCCGAGAGTCACATGATTCTGAAAAGCTATTTTGTTCAAGGCTACCACATTCAGAAAGTCAGAATATTTATAGTTGAGGATTAAACTGTGGGGTCCTTTAGAGGACCCCCCTCCCCGTCCATGTGATAATTCATTTTCCCTTAATTTTGCACATTTTGTGATGCCTTTACTTTTGATATGTTAGGCTGTACTCTTCTGAGTTCTGAAGGATGAAAATATTTCAAATACATAAATGTAGGCATCTTCATGCTGGAATTAGCAAAAAGCATATAGGCTTACTGTATATTATCATAGGCTAATTTCATCCATAGGTTTCTGTGCATTTACATGCAGTAGCAAGATACAATTGATCATATCTTTCCATAATTTGAGGATGGTATAATATACATGGATGCAGCAAAGAACTAATATTTAACATTGTCAGATGAAAATATCTGTAGACCTGTTTCACATTTTGCAGTACCAAAGAGGTCCTAAAATTACTGATACAAAGCACATTTGGAGAGTATTTGACTGTAAATCAGTTATCCCTTTAAAACTATTAATCATCAGAGCATTCTTACACCAATCAAATCAATATAATAAATAAATAGACAATCCCTCCTATATTAAGTCAACAGTGGTCAACCTTCGGATGCTTGGAAGATGGCTTCAGGGGCTGACAATAATATATGGTGAATGAGGTTTTGTCACATATTTGGAAAAGGACAAGATTTTAATTTTTGACCTGAATTTTGGTAGCCTTTTTAGGACTACAGTTTTAATGAATATCCATAGTACTACAGTACTGTTCCAGTAGTAGACATCAGAGAAGCTAGTGTATTTATAGAGTCCTACAGCTTCAGATTGTCTACTTCTATATTGTGTACCGGGTTTTGATGTGAAGAGCCTTCCTTAGCTTGTTTTCCAAAGAGTTAAGCAAAAGTGACCTCTCTGGATTCTTATGAGAACAAAGAAGGCAAAGTTTTTAATATAGCTCTCCTCCCATACAACTAAACATATGCAATGATGAATGGTCACACTTGGGATGTTCTTGCATGATTCAGATCATATATCCAGTCAATTTAATGATTGCTGATGTGCAGATATGAAAATAAATGCAGATAGAAATGCTTCTGTATCAGCACTGCACTGGCCTACATGTCACACTCCCTTGTTGGGCTGTAATAAAAGACTGCAGTGCATTGCCTATTAAGAGTACTTTAAGAAGTAACTTCACAATACAAAGCAAATACATATATTCATCCCCCACACAAAATAAATTTATATTTAGACCCTTCCCTCAGCTTCCAGCATAAGTGTGTTTTACTGTTTGACTGGGGTTACATTTACTCAACCCATTTGCTTGCCTTAGCTTGCACTGACAATGTTAATCCAATTCAGGTATTAGTGAGTAGATATCGATTTATTTTCATGCCAGCATGCCTCCAAATACATTTGCGCTCTTTTAAATATTGCTTCACCCCGAATACCTACAGATGGTTACATAACTAAGCAAACTCTGTTATTTATGTTTAGTGCTACATCGCTTTCTTTCTTACTTACTTTCTTCTCCTACACTTCTTTCTCATGAGAATGAAAAATATTTTCTCTTTTCTGTAGATCTGGGAGAGTTGCATTAAAAATCATTGACCCATTTACCTTCTCCTGCTTTCTGTTTGACAAACGATAATCCAAAGGATCTAACTAAGGTGGCAAAGCAGTGAAGGATTATACTGGAATATTTCTTGTCATTGCTTCCTCCTTGATAGTTCTATAAGAGGCTTTAGTGGATAATGACTTCAGGTTGCAGAAACTTTGGAAAAGAGACACTATGGAATAGATTTTGCTACTTTAGTATCACTGGCAATAAATCTGGCCACTAACACACACACCCCACACCCAAAATGAAAGAATGCAAAAAAGTATTAATTGGTGTTATGCACCTTAAATCTTCATGTTCAGAATAAAAACCTCAAATCATTAAAATGTTTCTTGCAGCAATGGAAGGATGGTAGTTAACCTGTCAGATGAAACTGTATAACCTTTTCCTGCTCCTTTTCATGACAAAGATAATCTCAGCTGAGAACATTTATGTGAAAAAATAGAACTACAGCATGGAGAGATGCTTGGATCATTAATCCAGGCATCGACTTCCTACAGAGTTCTTT